AAGTATGAATATAAATATACATACACACACACACACACACACACACACACACACACACACACACACATGCAACCTGATTCTATAAAAGTGCTGTTGTTGCCATGAATTTTAAATAAGATATTTAAATGCAGTAATACACAAATGGTAAGTCTTTAGCTTTTGTCATTTTACGCGGGGTATTTTCTTGAAGAATTCATATGTTTTTAAATGGAGTTGCCGTAGCTTTTTTAAGGTTATGAGGGTTATTATTTTAAGGTTATGAGGGTTATCAGATATCTTAATGATTACTTAAAATAAGCAATATATCCTTAGAGTTATTACACTAAATCTGTTTATCAGAATAATATTTTGTTTGTGTGTGTGATCACCTTTCTGAAGTGAGCAAGTAAAAAAGGGGGCATTCAATCTCTTTACACAAATATGCTGTTTTTGGTTCAGTTTTTACTATATCTTTGCAACTGATATCTTTTTTTTTTTTTACCCAGAAGTCAAGTACAATGTTATGTTATGTTCTTGTAAATATTGTAGGTAATTCATAGTCTGCTAACTCTACAGATCATTTTATTACATTTTATAATTTTTTTTTATTTTAAAAAGAAAAAGTGAAGCACAATGTTTCTTAATATGTTTCTTAAAATGCCTATGTTGTCAAAGAGTGTAAATTATCTTGCATTTCAAAATATTGTCTATAAATACATTTAAAACAATAATAAATTATTGTCAATTTACTTTTATTTAATACTAGGGTTCCCAAATTTTGTCTTCTGTTCTTGTGCACTGGGAGTCCACTAATTTATCTTAATAATAGAATAAACTCAGGAACTATATATATAACCTAAAATAACATTTTGTGCAAAGGGGCATCAATAGTAATTTCTGGTCCTGTCAGAAATGTGCTTCATGCTGCTGATGAACAGCCACACCCAGCCAAGCTGGATTTAATTAAATTGACACTGCTGTGCCTTTTCTCTCCATCAGCCGCACAGTTGCTGAGTGACGGACTGTAGGAGCTAATGGCCCACGGCATGGAACTAAATTAAGTGCTACAAAGTATTTATTGGGGCCAGTTATGTGGACCTCGTGCTTGATCAAGCACCTTCTCTTGTTGCCAAGGTAATCAGGGTTTGTATATAGAAACATTTCGGGAAAGAAAAGCTCTAGAGTGGTTGTGTAAAGATCAAAGATGAGACTTGGTAAACAAAAACTTAGAATAATCTGCAGCATTTTATGATCAATAAAACATGAATGTGCCTCATTAAGACAGCAGCTCATCATGCCCACTGAAATTTCATTTAATTGAATGTCAAATATCAAAGAACATGTGAGACACATTGCTGACCTTGCATATAGACACTTATAAATCCAAGTTTCATAAATGTTTATGTACTCACTGTTACATAAACCCGTATTGAACAGTTGGTGGGTAGCCGTCACAGGCACAACTAAAATCAATGCAAACTTATTTTCTTGACCCCTCTGCCATAAATGAAGAGCATTCGCTGAAATGCAAAAACATCCAAACATTCAATAGCTACTCAAAAGCTAAAATATTAGATGATCTGGTATACGGTTTAGAAAATGCTTTGTGTGTGTTTAGACAGAGCTCTTCAGAAGTGCCTAATGCAACAAATTTACTACTAAGAACCAGCTGATTTATTAATCAACACGACTGTGCGAAACCCTTAACCACAGATGTCAGCAACATCATCACTGCCATATTTCTATACCCCAAACACCCACACAAACCATATGCCTTGTAGACATGATGAGTTATCAAATCTAAATGAAATATCTCGATTTAACAGCAGCACAGACATGCATTTTTGTCTCATAACTTTCAAGGTCCGACTAGATATAATCTCATTTACTCATAAAATGTAAACCTGGATTTATTTATCTTGGGCCGGGTCCAAACTCCCACTGTGTATGTTCTTCTTTGAGTCTCTCCAGGAATGTTCCAGAACTCTGCGCTGCTCAGTCACTGTGGCTAACAGAGAAACATGAGTTCTGTGTGAAACTCTGCCCGTGCTCACCGTCGCCTATATAGAGCGCTACAGTACATGCCGAAACTATACATTTTATATGGCACACAACACTGTGATTGGGT